AGCCCAGGGCTGCTGGGAGGAAGAAAGCAAGGTAGGAAAGAGTTGAACTTATGGAAGTTGCTCAAGTCAATTTTAGATTTAGTTGAAGAATAATGCACTCAGTCCCACCAAAATTAAGAGGCTTATATCAGTGCATGAGGGGGAAGTACGTTGCTTAATTAAGGTTTCTGTACCTTCAGGAGTTTTAGTCTGAATTACTAAACATTCACATGCAACTTGCTCGCACTTTTATCATCCACTTATATTTCAACAAAGAWTAAATTACTCCCAAATAATCCTATYCTAGAGATAAGAAATCCCTTTACAACCATTGTGGATGAAAAAAAATACTTACTGCTTCAGCAAAGTCTGGATTAAATTTTAACAAGTTGTTCAATTCCTTTTGTAAAGATGCTGGAGCAAGAGCCTTTGTCTCATCATTCTTTAATAAAGAAGCCTGGAATAAAATTTGAACAGTACAAGTAAGATATGTAACTCCATCAGGAGGGTTATAAATTTATACTGTGGTACAGGATTGTCAGGTTGTTATCTGCTTGGAGAGGACATTAAAGAAGATTTTGTAGCAGCTCTGTCTACTATGACAGTGGCAGTTTGATTCTATATTATATTATAATGTTCACTTTCCAGAGATGAGAGAGACCAAGCCAAATAAAACCTTATTCAAAGGATTGTTTAAACATATTTAAAGAATTCTGGTTAAGTTTCTCTCAGAAGAATTAATGCCATGCATTGCTCACTGGAATATATGCATCTTCTCAGACAAAAAAAAAACTCCTCAGGAAAACAAATACAATAAATCCACAGTTTGCTTTGGCTAGCAGTTCAATTAACAAAAAATTACAAAAATGTAGTTACTAAAATTAGCATTAGTGACTACTGAATTACTGACATTTGTGTCCATGTGTATTTCTGTTCCCTTTTTTATTTACCAGCTGGAATAACCAACAAAACTGCACATTTCACGGAAATGTGAGGCAAGCAGAGCAGAAGGACCTCCTCAGAACCAAATATCAGCATATGGTGACATGTCTGGATAAAACACTCATAGCCCCAAGTGCTCATACTGAGCAACAACATGCARGATAACAACAAATCTCTACCAGATCAGAGAAAACATGTAGATAAAATTCAAGGTGAAATTCATGTTATGGAACATTTCCTCCACCTTATTCAGAATTAACATACCTGCTGAGAAAGAAAATACTCTGCTTGTTTCTGGGAAAGAGGCCCACTGCAGGCTATCTCTTCTTCCCTGGTAAGAAACACTGRTTAGAAACAGGGGCAAGGAAAAACACAGAAATACATTTTATCAGACACCCCGCACTTTTGCTTTACAAAGTTTTCTGAGATATAGCTCAAAACATGAAAGAAAACTGAGAAAACTCAATAAAGAATAAAATTTACTACATCAAAGTGAACAATCCAAATGATTTCACACCATTCAGCTTCAGCCTGTAGAGACCATAGTCGAGAGCAACATTACCCTAAATACACCCTAAAAAAAATGGAAAGAAAAACAGCACAGAGAAGATTTGGGATTAACATATGCAAATGGCTTTGCTCTGTTTTTTCTGCCTTCTAAAGAAAGTCCCAAGGAGACAAACTGGCACTTTGGCCACATCCATCACTCCTGAAAACAGCTGTTCTGCAAAGAGTTTATCTGTGGAAAGACACCAAGTACAGCACACAGCCAGACCCCAAAAGCTGCTGCCTGACTCATCTCCTGCACAAGTTTATACAGTGTAGAAAATATATGGATACATAAAATTTTTACTTTCAGGATTATTCTTACACTGGAGCACCTCTAACAGGTGAAAACTCTGAGTATTTGCTTCTTTTTGAGGTAATTAAACACAAATTCTTTTATTTGGAGAAGAGTGAAAAGAGAAACAGAACCAYTGAACTTAACTTCTCCTTATTAGAAGCAGAAGTGACCTCTGCAAAAATTTGAGCATGTGACAAGCAGAGGAATCATCCAGCAGTGGGAAACTGTGGGCAGCAACTGCCTTTAGCCTGTGGTTCCCTAAGTGAGGATGARATGGGGCAGTGCCACCTTCACGAGCCACTGATAAATGTGACCACATGGTGGCACCAAGGAAACGAGCGGCCACAAAGCTCAGCCTGGCTGTAGCAAACTTAAAAAAAAAAAAAAAAATCATTTTCTTAAGAGGTGGAAAAGACTTTAACACCAATATATCACCTTAAAGGCCCATCAAGTTCTTCTTTCTCCATTTTGCCATCCAGCTCCTCTGGGTTTGTCAGCTCCATATCATTCTCATCRGCTCCATCCTTTTTCTCATCCTTTTGAAAGTACTGCTGGAGCGCTGTGTAAAGTTTATAGACCTGGCTGAAGGAAAGTTTGTTGTATGCCAGGATCATGTGGCGCAGGAACAGACCTGGAGAGGGAAAYGCCTGCTGTGAGCACGGTCTGGCAGGCCCTGCTTCAGACAGGAGACTGAAATCATGGCCAGCAGCTTAAACAACATCATTTAGTTCCTCGTTAAACAGAAATTATTGAGAAATTAATAGAAATGGAATAGGAATTCATCAGTCTCAGCTTACCAAATGATACAATTCAATTTTGCAGGGTGTAATCTTAATTTAGAAGCAAATCTCACAGATGAATTGTTAAAATCTGTAACAACCTCACAATATGCAACAATATTGTTTAATAAGCTAACCAAAACTRTTGGTTAATAAGCAATATCCAAGCAAGAGAAAAATTACATTCTGCAATATTACACCTCTCCAGAAAATCAAACCTCTGGCCTAGGGGAATTACATCAGTGGTAGCAATCACATCAAAATATGGATAACAATTATTTACCTACTACACTTGTTTTATGAACTTCTGGCTCTGTCCCTGAGAATGAATCTGAAAGGTCATCAAAAAATTGTTCCATATCTTTCAGTTCTCCTTCTGCCATTAGTTTTAACCTACACAGGTGAAAAAAATTACATTTTTTAGAGTATTAATATAGATATAAAATATTCTCCTGCTTCCTTTATGAGTAAACATAAACAGAACCAAGTSGTAACTAATTCCTTGGGCCCAAGAAATTTTTCATACTGAGATAAATAAGAACATACTAAATAGTAATAATAAGCCAAACAATAATCAGATTTGGGCTTTTTTTCTTTTTAAAAAGGTCTCTATTAAAACAGAATAATTAGAAAATATGGTGATTCTTAAAACAAATAGGAACCCTTTTTTTTTCTTTAAATTTAAAATTTTTGATTGATTATGTACTCTTGCTGTTCAGTGAGTTATCTGATTTGAGAACAGATCTCCTGTCCCACAGAAACTTTAAATCTGATGGCTTYAATGTTCGTGCCTTTCAGAACTTTGTTATGACAAGYAGGAAAACTGTCGAAGGAGCGTTTWRGGMCAAATGCRCGCTTTTAAAAMCTGACGTTTACAGCACTTTTCAAGGATCAGAGCGGACACAAACATCGCAGAGGATTCGCAGAGCGGYTCTTCCCCCGCCCCGCCCGCACGGACCCGCCCCGCGCTCCCCGCACCTGATGTGGACGGAGCCGGCCAGGTGCGGGCAGCACTCCTCGATGGCCTTGCGCAGCCGCGACAGCGCCATATCCGGACCCTGCGGAGGACAGCGACATATCGCGACAGGCCCCGACACAACGGGCTCACCCTTCCCCCGCGCCCCAGGCCCAACCCGGGCCCCGACCTGCAGCAGCGGCAGCAGCAGCCGGTTGAGCCGGCGCCGCTCCAGCAGGCCGAGCTGCGCGCCGGCGCGGCCCAGCTCGCTGAGGAGCACGAGCAGGGCCATCTTGTGCGGGGTGACCCAGTCGCGGACGCCGAACACGTTCGCGTGCACGACGCCGTTCGTCAGCATSGGGTTGAAGTACAGGCTCTCGTGCACGCTCGCCATGGCGGCGCCGGGCCGCCCCGTCGCCCGGGAAACCGCGCGCGCCCCGCCCCGCCGGCCAATGG